GACGACGACTACTACTACGACGACTACTACTATACATATTACTACTGCGGCTACTACTACGAACGCCACTGAGACTACTACTACGACTGCTACTACTAATACTACTACTACTACTACTACTACTACTACTACTACTACTACTACTACTACTACTACTATGACGCCGACGAATACTACCACGACTACGACTACTACGGCTACTACTACCACTACTACAACTCCCAGCACTACTACGACGACTACTACTACTATTACTACTCCTACTACTACTCCGCTAGTACTACTAACACTACTACGACAATTCCCACGACGACGACAACGACGACGTCTACAACTACTACTACTACTACTACTACCACCACCACTGCTACTACTACTACTACTACTACTACTACGACTACTACTACTACTACGACTACTACTACTCCTATCACTGCTGCTGCTGCTACTACTACTACTACTACTACCACCACCACCACTGCTACTACTACTACTACTACTACTACTACTACGACTACTACTACTCCTATCACTGCTGCTGCTGCTACTACTACTACTACTACTACGACAAGGCGTTCTCATACCTATACGGCCGCCCTCAGGGAGATCAGAAGCTTGTGGGGGCGGGGGGAGTGAGGGGGGGGAACCAACATCAGACTCAATCGATCTCACTATCGATCTCACTCAATGGGACACCACGGGACACCTCGGGACACCACGGGACCCCTGTCGATCTCACTATCGATCTCACGATCGATCTCACTCAACGGGGACGCCACGGGACACCACGGGACACCGCGGGACACCTCTCGATCTCACTATCGGTCTCACTATCGATCTCGCTATCGATCTCACTAGACGGGACACCATAGGACACCACGGGACACCTCGGGACACCACATCGATCCCACTATCGATCTCACGCAACGGGAAAACAGGAACACCAAGGGACACCACGGGACACCTGTCGATCTCACGATCGATCTCACTATCGATCTCACTCAGCGGGACACCACGGGATACCTCCAGGCACCACATCGATCTCACTATCAATCTCACGATCGATCTCACTATCGATCTCACTCAACGGGACACCACGGGACACCAAGGGACACCTGTCGATCTCACGATCGATCCCACTATCGATCTCACTTTTTGGGACACCATGGGACACCACGGAAAACCTCGGGGCACCACATCGATCTCAGTATCGATCTCCGTATCAATCTCACTACCGATCTCACTCAACGGGACACCACGGGACACCGCGGGCCGCCGCGGGCCGCCGCCGGACAGACGGACGGGGGAGAATCATTTGTCTTGAATTCTCGCTAGCAACGGCGGGCACCACGGGACACCACGGCACACCGCTAGGGCCACCGCCGGACGGACGGACGGACGGGGCAGAATCATTTGTCTTGACTTTGCCCTAGCAACGGCGGGTTCATTCCTCTCGCGCACTCACGCAACTTCGCCTCGCCCGCACGCACGACACGGACGAAACGAAACGATTTCCCGGTTGGGGGATCTCCGTTCCACTGCGATCTCACCCACCAATCTCCGATGCATCAGCATTAGCGTCATCTTCATCAAAATCAGCATCAGCTTCATCAGCATCATCCTCCTCCTCCTCCTCATCATCATCATCATCATCAGCAGCATCATCAGCATCATCAGCATCACCATCACCATCATCATCATCACCATCACCATCATCATCGTCGTCGAGGGCATTCTTGGCACTGCTTAGCATCACTTGGCATTGCTTGGCATTGCACGGCATTCCTTGGCATTGGATTGCTTGGCAGTGCTTTTCAGTCGTTGGTATTCCTTGGCATTGCTGTGCATGGTTTTGCATGGCTTGGCGTTGCTCGGCATTGCTTGGCACCGGATGGTATTGAAAGGCCTTGTTATGCAAGGCATTGCAAGGGATGGTGTGGCGTTGTTTTGCAGTGCTGGATTGCTTGGTGTTACTGGGCATTGCTCGAAAGCAAGGAATCAAAACCAAGGAACCCGAGGGAGGTAACAAGAACAAAGACCAAGGGACCCGAGGAAGGCAGCAAGGACCCAAGACCAAGAAACCCGAGTAAGGCGTAAGGCAGCACGGAACCAAGATCAAGGCACCAGGGTAATGCCAATCGCCACCCATGCAAGAAACCAAGACCACGGAGCCAGAGCAAGCCAACGCAAGAAACCATAACCAGTGACCCCGAGCAACGCTTCGGAATTTGGGCGTCGCACGCACCAGGAATCCCTTAGGCAAATACGACTTAGGGAACTAAAGATAAGGACACGAATGGGAAGAAATACGGAGAAGAAATAGGGGGAGGAAAATGAAAAGGAGGAGGACGACGACGACCAAGAGAACCATCCTCTAACAAGGCGACGGCGTCATAAAATAGATGAAGACCTTACTGTACGCAGGTCTTGTTGGAGGTCGCGAACCTGGTACCGACGTCAGCTGCCGGAAAACGCCGGACTTGGCAAGGGGTGTATGACCTCAGGAGTGCTGAGAGGACGGCTGGAAGAGTTCGCTCCGCTGCTGCACCACCTGGTAGTTCTTCACGGCGCTAACCGAGAACCCCCGATGCAGCTGGTCCTTGAAGGTCTGGTCGATATCCGTGTCCGCACTGCTGGACACGGACAACCGCGACCCCCTCCTGGAGGAAGAACGACGCATACACATAAACTGTCGGAACCTCGCGCGGATCTCTTGGGTGCGGCACCAGAGGCGCCGCCAGGGGGACCCAGCGCCGATCAAAGAAATCCGCGCGGAGCGCAGAACATTACTTTTATGAAGTTCTGGGCTCTTCGATTCGGACGCCCGAAATGGGTACGCCCAACAGCAAGTGTTGTCCAAAACCGACAGCGGCCGCTGTTGGGCAGGCGACCTTCTGTCTCAAATGGACAGGGTCCGCGGCGACACCGACAGCCAGTCCTGTTTGAAAATAACAGGAACTGCTGTCGGTCATCGTACCGATCACTTCCGTACCTAACAGGGGATCTGTCGACCCCTATCCCAGGCGTCGTGGGGTTTTCGAATGGCCTTGAAATCTGGGGTCCCACCCGTGGATATACGATAGGGGGGGGAGTCCATGGTGCGTCCGAATAGCCCCCTCTGGGGGTGCATATCCCAGGGCATCCCCTATCCTTCTCTTGGCGGTGCCACTTCTTTTCGCTGAAGCGTCGGGAGGCGGAGGGGGGAAGAAATCAGCCGCCTGCGAGTACCCACTCCTCCTCCTCCTCCTCAACGTTAGTCTCCTCCTCCTCCTCCTCGTCTTCTTCCTCCTCTTCCTCCTTCTCCTCCTCCTCCTCCTCCTCATCATCATCAGTATCATCATCACCATCATCCTCATCATCACCATCACCATCACCATCACCATCATCATCATCATCATCATCATCCTCATCATCATCATCATCATCATCATCATCATCATCATCATCATGTTCATCATCATCATCATCATCCTCATCATCATCATCATCATCATCATCATCATCATCATCATCATCATCATCAATCATCATCATCACATCAGCATCGCATCATCATCATCATCATCATCATCATCTCATCATCATCACCATCATCATCATCCTTCTCCTCCTACTCCTCCTCCCCTCCGTCCTCCCCCTCTCCCCTCCCCCTCCTCCTCCTCCCTCCTCCTCCTCCTCCTCCTCCTCCTCCTCCTCCTCCTCCTCCTCCTCCCTCCTCCACCTCCTCCTCTCCCTCCTCCTCCTCCCTCCTCCACCTCGTCCTCGTCTTCCTCCTCCTCCTCCTCCTCCTCCTCCTCCTCCTCCTCCTCCTCCTCCCTGCGGACCGCGTGTCCGCCCCCCCCCCCCCACACACACACACAGACGCCCGAACGAACCCGGCGAGGACCGAGTAGGCGAAGGCGACCACCAGCCCGGCAGACCCCCCCCTGCTGCCCCCGCCGCCCCGGTTCCCACCGCCAGGCGCCGCTCTCCAAGCCAGCGCCGCCGCGTCCCCTCCTCCCCACCTCCCCCTCCTCCTCCTCCTCCTCCTCCTCCTCCTCCTCCTCGTCTTCTTCGTCCTCCTCCTCCTCCTCCTCCCTCCTCCTCCTCCTCCTCCTCCTCCTCATCATCAGCCTTCTCCTCCTCCTCCTCATCATCATCATCCCCTCCTCCTCCTCCTCCTCCTCCTCCTCCTCCTCCTCCTCCCTGCTCCTCCTCCTTCTCATCCCTCCTCCTCCTCCTCCTCCTCCTCCTTGTCCTCCTTGTCCTCCTCCCTCCTCCTCCTCCTCCTCCTCCTCCTCTCCTTCCTCCTCCTCCTCCTCATCATCATCCTCCTCCTCTTCCTCCCCCTTCTCCTCCTCGTCCTCCTCCTCCTCCTCCTCGAGTCCTGCTCGGCCGCTGGCGAGGGCCACGGCCTGAGGCCGCCGAGCTCGCCCGGCTGCCGTGCCCCTTCTTCGCGGGCGGTGGCGCCGGAGTAGCCGCGCCCACCTGCTGCTCGGCGGCGCGCACGGGCAGAGTGCGCGCGGCACGAGGGTCGAGGCTCGTTCGGGCCTCCTCGGCTCCTCCTCTTCCCCCTCCTCCTCCTCCTCCTCCTCCACCTCCTCCTCCTCCAATTCCTTTTCCTCCTCCTCCTCCTCCTCCTCCTCTTCCTTCCCCTCCCCATCCTCCATCTCATCCTCCTCCTCCTTCTCCTCCTCCTCCTCATCATCCTACATATCCTCCTCCTCTTCCTCCTTCTCCTCTTCCTCTTCCTCCTCCAGTCCTTCTCCTTGTAGATAACTCTTCCTTGTCGCACCCCGAGGCACGTGTCTGGGGTATGCCAGGCGTTTCGCCTGCGATTTCCTCACCATAGTGGCCACAGCTTCACAGATGGAGGGCAGGTCGCTTTCAAATGTGGCTTTCGCCTTGGTGCCGCGCACATTCGTCTTCACAATTTGCAACAGCTTCACGGATTACGGGCGGATGGCTTTCAACATGTGGCTCTCGCCTTAGCGCCGCGCGCATTTGTCTTTAAAACTTGCAAAAGGTTCACGCATTAAGGGCGGGCGGTTTTCAACAAGTGGCTCTTGCCTTGGCGCCGTGCACCTTCATCTTAAACACTTGCAAGAGTTTCACGGGTTACGGGCGGGTGGTTTTCAACATGTGGCTCTCGCCTTAGCGCCGCGCACATACATGTACAAGAGCTTCACGGATTGAGGGCAGCTCGTTTTCAAAATGTGGCTCTCGCCTTAGCGCCGCGCACAGTCGTGTCCAAATTTGCAAGTGTTTCACGGATTGGGGGCGGTTCCTTTTCAAAATGCGGATCTCGCCGTCACGCCGCGCACATTCGAGCTTCACGGATTCCCATGATCAGCGCACCAGAAAGTGTGTTTTGGAAGGGTTCAGGGTTATGCGGGCGCAACTGTTATGTTGATTCGACGTGCTGAAGTCCCCAAATTGCGTTCTGGCACGAGTCTGCATCGTCAAGACGCAGCAGTCAGGTTGATGGCGATGACATCACGAGAACAATGTTTCCGCACGCTTCAAGTTGTTGCCTTCTAACGAGACAGATCCCTCACTGGAAATGAGCCGTTGTAGGGGCCTATGAAGCGGGAGCTTGGGGGGAGGGTTAATTCCAACATCGTTGATTACATGGGCGCCCTGGGTAGCTCTGGGGCGCGGGGAGAAGTCGCGGCGGTGCTTTCGGCCCTTGTCATGCTACTCTTCTTGCTCATCCGATGCTGCGGGACGGCTAGTGTTGGCTGAGGCGAATCCCCTCCTGCGCGCCCGCGGGCGCGTCCGCGGCGCAGGCTTTCGCGATTCGGGATTCGCCTTCGCAGGCATACTGCGCAGTCGGCAGGAATATGCCTGCGAATGTGGCAGTCTGCCTGCGTGTGTGTGTGTGTGTGTGTGTGTGCCGTATGCCGGCTTCCCCCCCCAATCTGCAGTATGCCTGCGACGGGCCGTGTGCCGGACTTTCCCCATGACGCAGTATGCCTGCGAGTGTGGCAATACACCTGCGCGTGCGTGCCGCATGCCGGCCCCCTAGTCTGCAGTATGCCTGCGACGTGCCGCATGCCGGCCCATCCCCAATGCGCAGTATGCCTGCGAATGCGGCAAGATGCCTGCGTGTGCGCGCCGTATGCCAGCCCCCCCCCCAGTCTGCAGTATGCCTGCGACTTGCCGTATGCCGGCCCTTCCCCATGGCGCAGTATGCCTGCGGATGCGGCAATATGCCTGCGTGTGCGCGCCGCATGCCGGCCCCCAATCTGCAGCATGCCTGCGACTTGCCGCATGCTGGCTCTTGCCAGCGCGCGCGAGGGAAGCCGATTAGCTCGTGCGCGACGCGCCCCAACGCGCGCCAAGCGACCATGGCGCTGCCTCGCGAGAAAATCGTCGAGTTGATCGGCAGTTTGCCTGCTGGCGCTTTCGGCACCGACAAGACCGCCATCAGGGCTCGCGTGCGAAATCCCGCGCGGGGCCTCCCTGCCTGCGTTGCGTGCAAGGCCGATTGGGTCCACTTCGTCGCCGAGGCCAACGCGGTGGACGGGGAAGAGGCGCAGCTGTTCCTGTGCACCGCAGTCGCGCGCCTCATGGCCGAAGCGGTCGTGGCGGTCCGCCCGATTGACTACTCGGACGCATCCACGCGCGAGATGTTGATTGCGGCCCTTAAGCCGGGCGCGAAGCCGTTCGCGGAAGACAGACCCGCGGAGTGGCGCGATTTCGCCATCAAGCCGTGCCACGTCAATATGGCGTTGCGGGCGCAGTCGAGGGCGTGCTCGACCTTCGGGCCACAGGCCCCCGCCCCGACCGCGCGCGCGGGGGCGGGTCGGCGCGCGACGTGGCGCCAGGGCGGGCAATCGGCCCCGGCGGAGGCGTCCGCCAAGCCTGCGGAGGAAACGGCGCGCATCGCGGCAGCCATGGAAGATTACGTGAGGGCCAGCAAAGATTTGCTGGAAGACAAGAAAGAGAAGCCCTTGGCGTTCGCCATGGAGGAGTAGCGTGTTCCGGGCGCGCGGGGGCCGCCGAGCGAAGGGGGGGGCGCTTCCGCAGGACCGCGTGCGCGAGGTCTGGCTCGGAAACTTCCCCCGCGAAGGGTTGCCGACGGAAGAGTCGATGCGCAAGTTCGCGTCTGCGGGTCGAACGGCCCAGAAGAATGGCCGCTCGTATATCGGGAGCGCCGAGTGCGAGAGCCTGCAGGCGCCCTGGCTTGGCGCCGCGCGTCGCGGCCGATCCCCGCTCCGATGACTCCGTTCCACGCGCAGGACCACTGCGAGCCCCAATGGGCGCGGACGCCGAGGCTGGATTCGGTGCCAGCGGGGCCAGGCTCGTGGCGCGATCGCGCGTCGGCCATCATCGCGGCTAACCGCGCGGGGGCATCCCTGGACCGAATGGATTTTCTCGGTCACGCGCACTTCCAGGCCGCGCGCGCAGCAGCGGGACGCGAGCGCCCGCGCGGGCCCAGTCGCGCGAGGCCCACGTGATGGAGTGGGGGCTTCGCTGCATATTGTCCAAGGTGTTTGATTCCGTCGCGCTGCTTGGATACATGTATCAGCTCGCGCGCGTGAGTGAAGAGCACGGGGGCGTCAAGGCTAGGCGCGAAGCGGCTGGGCCGCTGCCCGAAGCTGCGCGGGCGGGGCCGCGCCGCGTGTAGGCATCATATGCGTACGATTTGCTGCTCCGCCAGAAGGTGGCGAAAGATCTGGAGCACGGCGACGAAGCCTCGACGGCCGCGTTCACCGTGTTGTCGTGGGACATCCTGCGCGCCGCCAATGCGCGAAGCGATTCGGGCGGGGCCGCGCGGGCAACGCGCATTGGGCTGCCCGCCCCAGGCGAGAGTCGAGCAGTCGGACCGCCAGGCGTCGATCGCCAAAGGCGGGGGCACGAAGTGCGGCAGCGACCGGCGCGACCAGGCGCGCCGCGCGCGAGCGCCCCGCGGACGCGCGCACGCGCCACGACGCGCGAGGCAACGAGGCCCGGGCCAAGGGTCCCGAGGAGCCCCGTTCTTCGGCGTTCGCGCAGCCCGCGCCGTGACGCATCTGGCAAAGCCGGCAACAAAGGAAACGGCAAGCCTGGCAAAGGAGGGGCTTCCAAGGACGCGGGGAGCTCGTGAAACAGGCCCGAGAGAGCCGATGCCTGGCGGTGGTGACGCCGAAGCGCTGGCGCTTTGCATACTAATTATTCGCTCGCCCAAGGCGCGACCCGCGAGCGCGCCCGCGTGATTGTCGCGCGACGAGCCGCGTAGGCGACGGGGCTCCCCCACTGCACTCTGCCGACAGCGGTGAGAGCGCAGCGTGGCGTGGGCCGTCGCCCGAGGGACAGGAGGCGCCGCGATTGCGCCGCGGCCGGGACTGCCCCGCCCGCGCGCGCGCAGCGCAGGGCGCGAATGCCGATTCCGACAACGATGTCGGGGGCGGGGTCGGCGATCTGTGCCCCCAGCAAATTCGCGATGCCGGCTGCGCTTTTGAAGAGGCCCGCAACCATCATCCGCCGAAGGCGCATCGAAACGCCGCCGCGTTGCCGCGCGCGGTCAGGTCAGAGCCGCCGTGGAAGCGCTGCTTGTCGACGAAGGCAGGAGGGCGGGCATGGGCCCCCTCTGCCATGTGGCCTGGGCGGCGCATCTGCCGCGGGTCAGCGAAATGGCGCCACTCGCCGGGGCTGCGCGCGACGCGGCGGTGGCAGCGAGCCAGACGGCCGATCAGCTCTTGCATCAGAAGCGCGAGGCGGCCCTGCAGTTCTGGCAGGAGCGCAAACGTGCGACGGCTCCAGCATGGAAGACGCCACCCAGCATGCCCGCATCGCGCGCCGAGTTCAGCCGGGGAGCGCGCTTGCGGGGAGGCGCGCTATGCGAGATTGCCATGGCACGTGCGTTCCGTTCTTGGGCCTGACAAGAATTTGTTGCTCTTGGCCGAGATGATGCAAGCTGCTGGGGTGGCCCGCGTCGCGGCGCGGGCGCGCGCCGGCGGAGCGCGGCCTCGTGCGCGAGGCGCCCGACATGATTTTGACGCGCGATTTGGAAGAAGGGTTCCAGCTGGTCGGGGTCCTGCCGCGTTCGGGCATAAACGCGGACGTGGCCCCGAAGGAGACCGCGTGCCCGTCCGAGCTGCGCGGCCGGGCGGACGCTTTGAACGCCGCCACTCTCGAGCGCGCGTCTCGGGACCTGGGGGCCGACGCGGAAGTCACCCAGATATTGCATCAGAAAGCATATGAGGAGGCGCGCGCGCGTGCGCCCCGCGCGCTGGAGTGGGCGGCCTGCCCGGGTCGCGGCGCCCGCGCGCATGCAGTAGCCGCGGGTCAGGCGGCGCGGGTACGTCTGTCTGACTTGCCGCGAGGGGCGATATTGAACCCGCGTTTCCCCGTCGACGAGGGATGGCGATGGAAGGAATCGGGCTGTGCGCGCAGGGAGGGGCGCATTCTCCGCGGCGCGCAGTCTCCCCGTGCCCTGCCCCGGGGGTCAGTGCGCTTAGGTTCGCGCGATTGACGACTTTACTGCTACGGGAGTGAATGAC